CTCCCTCCAATAGTGCTTTCAGGGCTCAGCCCAGCAGGTAGATGTGACCTTTGTTGTTTTCAAAGCCTATTTAGCTCTGGTCAAAGAAGTCCAGAGGGTAAGAAAACATGGAAAAACAATCCTCTAAACAATTGCCATTTTGGTGCAACTCTAAATGTATCATGGAAATTGTGACTTCCTAGGAATTATAGCAAGTTATCTAAAATATAGTCCAAAGCCTAGTGACAACACAGACTGCAACCATGAGGCAGTTACCTCCACCCTAAACTTCATTCCCTCATCCACAAAAGGAAAGTACTGTACAGTAGGGTGCTTAATATTAGCTACTAAACTCCAAGGTTTCAATAGCTTAATATAATCAAAACGATTTCTCATGCACACTAAATTCAGTATTGATGTTCCCAGTTGGACATCTGTACAAGTCAGCACTGTGCCCAGCAGTGTGTCTTAACCTGAGGTCCTTACTTCAATGAACCTAAGTCCAAGGCTTGGGAGAGTACTTTATTTTGGAGTATGATATCAAGCAGTGCCTGTAAACAGTTTCCCATGACTCTGACAGATGCTTGACTCAACTGAAGGCAGGAATATCCATTTGGGCTCACGGTTTCAGAGGACTCTCTCTGTAGCTACTAGGCCCTGTGCACAACAGCACAGCATCATGATGGTGGGAAAGGACCGTCTTCATGGTGGACCGAAAACAGAGGAAACCAATGCTGATGCTCAGCTGGCTTGTTTTTTTTTCCATTTTCCCCATATGGGACTTGACACTATAGGGTGATCCTGCCAAGATCTCCCCTTCAGTTCATCATCTCTGAAGTTATCCTCACAGATATACCCAGAGCCTATGCCTCATCTATCTCCTAAGTGATCTGAAATCCAGTCAAGATGACAGTGAGGATGACCATCCCAGAAAGTAAAGCAGAAGATGAGGAAGAGTTAATAGAAGGAAACTTTGAAGTTTTCATCCACTGCCTGTGTGGATCTGTGGTCCACAGAGTGAGAAAACTCCTGCTGAATGTCATAGTGCATCAAGGCAAGGCATTTATCTACTGACTAGCGTCCTTATGAATCCAAAGTCTGTTCCTATGAGACTTTCACACCCCACAACACCAGTTATCTACCTTTGTGCCTAAGAGTTGCTTGGTTGGACTTGGGGAGAATTGGTAACCATTGGAATCCTGGACAAATGAGTCTTAAGAGTCTAAAGGGTGCCTTTAAGACACTTCACCCTTAAATGAGCTTCTGAATCTTCATGCATGGCCACCACACCATAGGAGGGAAAGAGAAAGGGAAGCTTCAAGACATGAAAGCAGCATGTGTCACTCCCAGCCACATTCCAATTACTGTTTGGTCATATACACCATCACCCTCACATCAAAGATGATAGAAACATTAAATAATATTCCCATGAACCCAGGGGACAAAGGGAATGGCTGGGTGAACACAAAACCTTGTTTCTTCCAATGGGGACACTGGTTATCCTGGCACATACTTAGACTGAGATCAGGAACGGTCAGAGACCAAGTGCTCCAGGTACATTGTTGTTAGTAGATAAATGATAGCTTTATTTAGCATCTGCAACATGAAAACACATGAAGCTTAAAGGATCTCTTCTATGAGGAACCAAAGACCTTAACTAGCAAAGATCTGATACAAAAGTTGAAGGATTGGTGTGGAATATTTTCAAACCATAGACTTATGGCTGTAATCTTTCTTGAGAGAGGTGCCCAAAATGAACAAAACTTTGTACATAGTAAATCTGTGATCTTCCTGTTGAATAAAGTCACGATTGCTGACGCATGTGTATATCTCATTCATATTGATTATGTGAGACACCAAAGGATCAGTTCCTAATGAGACAAGACAGCTTCTCCCAGGGCCTCAGGAGAAAAGGACACACCTTTTTATTTCCTCTGCCAGGGATTTTCTTATCTCACAGCTAAACCAAGGAGAGGTAAATTTTTTGTGTCTTGGTGGGGAAATAGGCCAAGGGTTTGACATCTGATGTTTACATTCATGATTTGTCCTGTCAGGGATGAAGTCCTGTCTCTGGACATGCCTATGCGGATATTTCTAAAAGAAACAGACCCTGTCTTCCTCCCTTATTGCTTTTCTCTTCATACTATCTTCTGGAAACCTCTGGATAATATAAGACTCATGAAAAAATAAATTGATAAGTCATCATGTGCCTAGCTCTTGGCTAAGTGCTGAAATAGGTCAGAAGTCTTAGTTTGAGTCCAATGAGAAAGATATTGAGCACACACATAAACACACAAACATATGATCTAATTATAAAGTATATGAAACTGGGAAAGAATACAGTTCTAAGATAGCTGCCTTTCAACACATTCTCCCTCTTCTGGGTCATCATCAGAATTCTACATATTTTAGCTGGGCCCAGTTCTTTACCAAGAAGCCTATCTCATCAAGACTCCCTTGCAGCTAGGTGTTGTCATCTGATCAAATTCTATTCCATAGCTTTTGAAGAAGAGGTTGTTTATCTTCTCTTCCTATTTCTATTTATTTAGAAGTGATGGTAATGTTTTTAGACCCTAATACAAAAGCTATGCTTAAGAAGACCAGTACTTCATGATGTGAAGCTGTATACTAATCTTTAACTATCCATTCTTTCAATGAAAGAAGGATAACAATTACTGTTTGGGCACCTCTGAGGAAGCAGAACCTTTCCTCCCTAAGACTATCTCATCTTTGAAATGAAGTAGGAGCATATGAAGACTGTAGGAAAGTGTCCCAAGCAGAGAGAACTTCATGTTCAAAAACTTGAAAGGTCAGATGGCTTAACTACAAAGATCAAGAAGGCAGCATGGTTCAGTGAAGCAGACATGGGTTGTCAGGCACGAGCAGTTTCCATCGTAAACAAAATTTCAGTAACCATCAGACTATTACTTATTATTCTTCAGCCTCCGTTGGAAACAGTCTCATTAAAATGGACTTTTCAAGCAGGAAATTCAACAAAATGCTTGGAGCACAGTAATGTCTCTGCACCCCACTTTCTCTTCACCTGCAACAATGTGGGTGCAACAACCCCTGCCCTGCAAAGCTGCTTCCCAAGGAAGACTTACATCTGAAGAGATGTTGCAAACTTTTCATGGAAAGGGTCAGACTGTAAAGATTTTAAACATTGTGGGTCAGGTGATTTCCGATGCAATTGCTTAACTATACCTTAATAGCCTATAAATGTATGTGGACAGACCTGCACCAAGGCCGAATGAATGAATGAATGAATAAATGAATGGAAATGGATCCATTACAATAGAACCTTACTCATGGACATTGTGATTTGATTTTCATATAACATCATGAATTGTGACATGTTCACTTGCCTTCTCCCCATTTTTAATAGAGAAAAAAACACTTTAAAATGTGAAAATCACTTCAGGCTTATAGGATATGTGGAAAGAGATAATGCAATGGATTTGGTCTTGGTCTAGGGGACATAGTAGCCAACCCCTATCCATTAATATTCAACACATGCCTATCATATGGAAATGGCTCGGCAGTTGTTCTTGGCTGATTTATTTGCTAATGACATTAGCTAGAGTGTACCAGGCAGTGACTTTTCCATCCTGAAGTGTAGCATAGTAAAGGCGCATAAAGTCCAACCAGTCTGAAACTTCCTTTTTTCCTCCTGTCCTCCAAGCAGCCGGTATTGACCTAAGTTGGAACCAAGGGCTGGGATGAGGCTAGGGGATCAATGACTTCCTAAACACCAGTGGCTGGGACCCAAAACTGTCAGGCTGGAAAGGACTTAATAAGCAGAGAGCCTGTAAGGCAGTTCAGAATCTGATTTTGCTATAAGAGCATGATTTTTAACAGCTCTGTAGCTGTTCCCAACCTTTTAACACTGTCTTCTGTGACTCAAGAGATTCTGATCTTATAGCGAAATTGACTCCACCAAATGTTTGACATTCTCCTGGGTAATGTCTCTGATATGACTGCTTCAGGCTCAGCCCTCTCTTCTCTCTCTCTCTCTCTCTCTCTCTCTCTCTCTCATATGTATAAACATATTATATATATGTATATGCATACATAAATAGAGAGATAGAGATATGTGTATTGATAGATACAGATAGATTACATATATATGTCTTTCATTTTCTTCATATTGAAATATATGTAATTTTAATTATCCTAATGAATGTCACAATTGTGTCTCTTTGGTCCCTAACATTTTTGTTTGAAAAGAGATATCCTCTGTTTAATCTTAATGCTAATATTTGAAGACGTGGTCACAGTTTTGGGTCATTTGGATCATGCCAGAGTTACGTTGGGTTCTCAGGACAATTAATCATGACATGGCAATGAAACCATTTCTTTTTTATTTCTTATGGTTGTGGTTATAATTTTTTCTTTCTGGAGACAGACTGCTATAGACTCTCAGTCATTATTTCAGAATAAAGGGCTCCAAGAGTCTTTTGGCTGGGGCCAAAAGCAGTATTTCTGCAATGGAAGCTTCTCTGAATAGCACAACACTGTCCAAATCCCACAGCATGAAGGGAGAGGCACTGTGGTCTGAGGCCATAATCCCCTCTGGGCATGTGCCTGCCCACACAGCAGTGATCATGCGTGAGGAACACAGCCCTAGGGGCTGGGCTAATGAAACTGGAATGTATCTGTCACCCAGAGCTGAGGACAGAATATAACCAAGAGGAACACCCTCTTCCAACAGGAATAAACTGTGGGGTTTGTGGAATAGAAAGGCAAAATAATAGAAGAAGAAACAAGGGACATAAGTACTGAGGAGCAGGAGGGAAGTTGTGGTTTGGGAGGCTCTAGGCTTTGGTCCTTTAGGGGGGTATGCTTAGGAAACAGTCCCTGATAAGATCTGGAGAGCCATCACAGCAGACTTAGCAAAATAAGTAAATCTTCTGACTAATCAAAAAGTTCTGTACATCACAGGGAGAAGGAGAAAAGGAAGAGAGGAGAAAAAAGGAGAGAGAGAGAGTTCTTTCTGACTAGAGATTATTCTGAAGCTCTACCTGAGAGTGTCGGTGTCCTAGAACTCCACAGAGCATCTGGTGGATATGAGGCTGAGATGAACGGTCTCCAGGATGAGTGGACAGCGAGCGAGCCTGAGCAGCAAGCAGCGAGAAGGATGCTCCTCCACTCTGAGAGGACACCTTCCTAATGGTCTCATGGCTGTCCCAGGGAATTCTTGGGTGTGAAGTCAACACTCATCTTCTTGAGATAGTCTCATCTTCACTGAGGAAGAAAATCTCATAAAAATCTTTTTTTAAAAACAGGAAAGAAAGAAACAAGAACTGAAATTTAATTCATTAACCATAATCTTCCTCCCCATCAGTACCTTGGTTAAAGACCCCACAAAGTGTGTGAGAGGTTTTTGGTTATTGAAATAGCATGGTCTTACAAATTATCAGGAGGTTTCAATAACAGTGCAACCAATATTTGTTAAGACTTAGTACATTACATATGTAACCTTGTAAAGCCAACACATTGCAACTCTGATCATCATTTGTTAGGTGAGAACACTGGGACTTAGCTGGGGGCAGACGGCTTGCTCAGACACAGTCAAGAATGGAAAGGACTGACATTTGAATCCTGGGCAGTCTATCCAACAACAGAGTTCTTGTGCTTAATTTCCAAGCTATGCCATTTTTAATGCATTGGTATGTGCTTCTGAGGTATAAAATAAATAAAATAGCAGTCACCTTAAGATGACTTTTTTTGATCTAGTAATGGTGATAATTATAAATGAATAAAAACAAACAACTAATAATATTCATATGGCACCAAACCTCAATTGTGTGTATCGAGTTAGGTCACTTCTTTGAACTATTTTAGAGGGGTGTGAATTTGTACACATGTGGGTGCACGTAAGGACATGTTGTCCTCTAGGAAGGCTTCCTGGATAGGGCTATGCATGAGTCAGGCTTTCACAGGCAAGCAGAGCACAGTGTGGACTGGTGGTCACAAGGACTTTCTCTAGAACAAGAGAACAAGGTGTTCAGCAGCACAGAGTCACAAACACCAGACACTATTTCAGGGACTAGAAGTAGTTCTAGATGTCTGTGGCATAAAGTACTAGTTAAGGAATGGGGATGGTTGAGAATACAGATGTAGGCGGAAGTCCTGGTTTTCCAGATCCATGTTCAATATCAAACTTTGGGTTATCCAGTAGAGAACTCCTGAGAACATCCATGAATCCAATCTATGTGTCTAAGACAGAATAATAACAGAAAGTGAGGTCATGAAAATCAAGCAAAACAGACTTGTGTGCATAGTAAGAACATACAGAAACCTTGGTGTCGACAGAGCTTGAGTTCATGGAGGCTCATACAGCTGCTTGTTGGTTGGTTGACTGGTTGGTTGGTTGGTTGGTTGGCAATCTATAGATCAGTTAATGTTTTGCTCAAATTTATTTGTGTCTATAGTCCATCCCTTTCTAAATTAGTCATTTAGAATTCACCTGCAGATGGTTGAGAAGGGAAATAGCATCTTTTCTTGAGAGGCAGAATGAGTGTATGTATGTGACATCTGCCCAGTCACATCTGTTTCAATAACTTCCTTTCTGCCCACAAGGAATGGACCACAATGGCAGGCATGTTTTTTTACTCTTTGTAAAGCCAAGGAGATACCTGACCTAAGCTAAACATGATGGGGGAATGTCCTTCTGTATGCTGTGAATATATGTTTCTCTTATTGGTTGATTAATAAAGCTTTTTCAGCCAATGGACAGGCAGGCAGGAAGTATAGGTGGGGATACCAGACTAGGAAAATTCTGGGAAGAGAAAAGAGAGGGTGAGTCACCAAAAAGGATACTACCAGGAAGGTAGCATATCCGGACATTCTCTGGTAAGCCAAGACCACATGGAGATACATAGATTAATAGAAATGGGTTAATAATTAAGAGAGAGCTAACCAATAAGAAGCCTGAGCCATCAGCCAGTTTACAATTAATACAAGCCTCTGTGTGTTCACTTGAGACTAAAAGGCTATGGGACCAGGCGGTACAGAAACATCCATCTACATAAACAGATTCTCCTCATCAGAAACATGAAATCTACAGATGACTGTAGTGCTTATCAAAGAACGTTCTTCTTGCAGCAGGTAGAACCCATTATAGAAATCTACAACTGGTCAAGAGACAGAATTACTTCAGTCATGGTACAGGATCCATGACATCTTCAGGATTTTCAATCTTGATGCTGTTTTTCATTCCAGATCAATTTATACCATATTTCAAGAAATTCAATGAAATGGAGATTTCCAAGCTCCCAGGAAAGAATGAAGACAAGATTCAGAATACTGTTGGCTTCTCATTTTTCCCTTTGTCTTTCCTTTGAAGATGGGATCTTACCATACAACCCAAGCTACCCACAAACTCAGTGCTACCACTGCAGACATGCACCAGCATGCCCAACTGCCTCTTGGCCTGAATAGGCAGCCCTATCCAGACATAGAATGCAGCTCATCCTCTGTCCAAAGGTAGCTTTTCAAGCATCAGAGTGGCCCTGTGCCTCAGCACCAGAATAAGGACCAGATTCTTTCTGGCCACCAGTGAAACAAAGGAAAGAGGCCATTTCTGTCTCCAGGAAACCATTGCCTTCTTCAGAATAGAAGTGAAATGTTTTTGTTTGTTTGTTTGTTTGTTTTTTGGTGGAGAAATACAAAAACTAGAGAGGCAAGCCAATATTGATCTCCTAACCAAATGGGCTTGGTGGTTCCCCACTTTCTCCTCCGCAGTGACAAGAAACTTTTATTGGAAGAAACTCCATGACCTCTGGCTTATCAAACAGGGATCCTAATTAATTAGTATACTCTGTTCCTCAAAGAAAGATGCATAGGGTGGGGGGGTCATTTCATGGTTCTTACTAAAACACCCCATCTGGAATAGTACCAGAGAATTCTCCATAACAAATCCTTCAGTTAAAGGTTTTAGGAAATTGTAATGGAGATCAAACCCAGCTCCTGAGTCCTCATGGAAAGAATAGGCAAGGCTGCATCTTTATCATTTCTGTACTTGCATAGTAGTCCTTCTAGAAGCTGAGACCCGAGAAGGACACTCCCAGGTAAGAAGAATGATAGACCCCATATTTAATAACCATATTTTTAGTTGCCTGCTATATATGCTCAGCTTCTTCATAGCCACAATGGGAGACACAGAATAAATATAAAGCAAGAAAATGGTGTTTTTAAAAAGCTCTATAGATATTCCAGAATTTTCAGTGTATGAGATAGTTTCATTTAATGATAATAAGAACTGTCTTAGGAGACAAGCAATGTGAGTGGCAGGTCCATTTGTCACGTAGGGAAATAGATGCTCAAAATGACAGTTGCCATCACCTGGGGGGGGGAGGAGGGGGGATTAGAATCCTAGTGTGATTATGCTTAGCACTCCACTCCTTCTATCCCCTGTGCCTCCACTTAATACTATCCAGTGGGGGCACACATGGGAAGAAACAAGTCAAGGTCATAGCCTATGAGTGGTGAGTCCCACAATCCAATAAATTACATGAGTGGCTCAAGAAGGAAATAGCAGTATGAGCCAGAGGCTCAGAGTAGGCGTCACGGAGGGCAAAGTGCCCAGGTTTGGTCCATGGAGAGTGAAGGCATCAGTCTAGGGGAAGGAATGGAAGCTGAGTTGAGAGGCTTTCTGAAGGAGGGTGGAAGATACCCAGAGAGCGAGACTCAGAGAATGGGAACAGAAAATGCTAAGGCCCAATCAAAAGAAACCCTCAGAAGGGCAGACAACTTCCAGGGCCGAGTCACTGACATAGGCGAGGGGAACATTTCCATCCCTGGTGAGGCTCCATAGCAACCTTGAGAGAATGACAAGTAGAGTCTAAGAAACAAGTTGACCTTTGGTGCTGAGAAGACAATTTGAAAGTGGGTCATATCCCTCTTTGTGGAACTCCATACCGGCTTCTATCTTTTTCTCGACTCTCCTAGAAACTAACATCATTGGGCCAAAATAAAATCCGAATGGACTCTGGACCTCCTGGTCACTCCTCGGGGCCTCTATCTCTTCCAGAACATACCATCCATTGAACCAGTTGATGCTTTCCTGGGGTAGCCTAGTGTGACCACCTACTCTGAGCTGCCCAGCTGCTGGAGCCCACGGCTAGGCTCCACATAGGTAAGAAAAGTCCAGGCCAGCAGAGAAGGGATTCCTCCCTGCCTCCCCCATCTGACCCACTTCTCCACCATCCACCTGCTTCAGGCACCTCAGGCCCAGGCCCAGCTGCCAGCTTCCCACTGAGGCACTCCCTCAAATTGCTAGGAGATGGCTATCCAAACTGTCACCCCATGATCAGAAGAGGAGTCGTGTAGCTGACAGCACCTGAGAGAGCTCTCATTTGGATTACATCAAAGTCTTTAAATATTTATAAAGTTCTGGTATCTAAAATAGCTAGTCTCTGCCCTGTGTGTAAGCTGTTGAAATAGTGGCCTAGTGAATTGTAAATGGAACATACATATGAACCATCGTATATTTCGTTTGTAAGAGTGTACCATAGCATGAGAGAGAGAGAGAGAGAGAGAGAGAGAGAGAGAGAGAGAGAGAGAGAGAGAGAGAGAGGGAGGGAGGGAGGGTTTAAGAACCCACACTGCATTATGTTAAATATCCCAAGGGCTCAGTATAGAACATGACTGGAATGGATACAGAGCATGAAGAACTTTTTTCTATCTCATTAGATGGTCTGAGTTTTGAAATCTGTTCTGAGTGTGGTAAAGTGTGCAGATCTGTAGATTAACGCACCGAATACATTCTGCAGTTCTTGATGTGTTTCATAAAAGGTCCATTTCAAAAGTGTGCTGTATTATAGGTGAACACTCTCAGTAAATAATCTTGTTACAGAAACCTAAGCAATTTTTACAAGGCGTATTTCTGGCTGACTGAACAATTTATTCTCCAGATGTCACATTGTATTTTTCCAATATAAAATGAAACAGCTTTTTTTTCTCTCTTTTAAGGCCGACTGTGTTGCTTTGTCTGAGTCTAGAACAAAGGATCTCCCCTTAAGGAGACTGATGCCATGGTAAAGCCCATCACTTTCAGATGAACACCACACCTGGGAGGGGCCGGCAGCACCATCTCTGGCTTCCCCATTCTAGGACAATAGTTGAAAATCAAGTAGAACGATCCCTTGGGTCACACGGTCTAAGAAAACTGACAGGTTTCTAAAAAAATAAATAAATAAGGAAGGAGAAAGATGGAAAGGCAGGGGAGAGTTGGCAGGGAG